TTTCCAACCCGCTTCTCCGCCCCCTTTCCACCCTACGGTTTCAGCGTGGCTATTTATTTCACACTATACTTCTCGCGATTCAGTCGCTCGCGTGCTGTCCCCGTGGTATGCACAGTTTTGCGAGTGAAACGAAAAATACTGAAAATGAATGAGAAAAAAGAAAGACATATTCCCTCCTCGCTTGCTTTACCCATGGGACGACGATGGCTGAGTCAAGTGTGTGGTATGAGAACAAGTGATAAAAATAAAGAGTACATGGACGTGGAAAATTGTTATTCTGTACCTCGACGGGATACAAAGTACTTTGGTTAATGCGTACGTACCACGTAGATATCTATAATTATATACATATATATATATATGTACGCATGTGCGTATACGTATTAATAGGCACGTGCAACTGTATATTGGTCGATATTAAGTGTAAAACTTTATAACGATACGAAAGAGACCGGATGATACGAAGAAAGTTCTGTGATGATACGTGCGTAAGAACGTGCGTGCGCGAATGCGCGTGCACTTGATTCGCATTTGGTACTACTTAAATAACGTAGATTTACTTAGCGTGTGTATACCGAGTGTCGTGAAAAGAGAGAACGGAGCGAAATTGTAAAAGAGAAAAGGATATTAAGCGGAAGCGAATTGTCTGTGTATGTTTGGAGAGGATTGTGGATGAATTAGGATTGGCAGGTTTGAGGTGGAGCGGGTGCGATCGAACGCTGTAAAAGTCAGAGTCTGCGATTGGCTCGTTTGATTTCTATTTTTTCACATAAAAAAAATATCGATCGATCGCCCTCTCTCTGCGCGACGATCGATAAGGATCGTTTTCTCGAGTGCAGCCGATTACTCGATAACGAAACAAGGGAACGAAGCACATCCGTTGAGTATTGTAATCCTGCTTCTCTTCGTTCGCTCTTTTCAGTATGAGATTTTCGATGGGAATTCTCTTGTTAGAAATACAAATTGGAGCCAAGTACGAACCGAGCCTCCCGACGATCTTAGAACGTAGATCTGGAAGTGTGCGAAAAATAAGAAAGAGAGCCGTGGCGAGTCTTTGACGAAGCAAGGTGCTATTTACCTGGTTGACAAACAAAATTGAATCTTTTATATTATTTTGTTTCTTCGCGACTTACATAGTCGTACGTAATTTCATTGAGCCGTTTCGTTGTACGGTTTGTTGAAGGTTTTTTTTTTTTTTTTTTTTTTTTTTAGTAAAGATAAAATCCACTTGTCAAAGTGTCTTCGTTACCGCGTCTTTGCGATATTTCTTTTTCTTTGTCAGCTTCAACGTTTATTTTTTCCTTCGTTCGAACTGTGTAACTCGTTGTCACCTACTTTTCTTACAAAAATTTTCCGTCAATAACGAAGCGCTCGGTTTGCGCATATTAAAGAAAAGTATCTACGCGACATGAAGTATCTAAGTAAATGTTATTTATACGTCGTACGTAATGTACCTAACATAAGAACATAAGAACCGCCACGCCACGGCGTACGGTATATCCCAATACGCTTTCGATGTCGATATCTTAATTACTTACTGTACTACCTGGTAGAATTAACGTTTCGAGGAGGAAGATGTGATTTAAGTTTCTTCTCCTTTTTTTTTTATTTTTTTCCTTTTTTTTTCTTCCTTTTTCGTTCACCTCGTTTTGTATAGAGCGCTCGGGTAAAGGTCAAGTGGTACGAAGAATTGACGTTTGTTATAATTTTTACAAAATTTCTATCGATCTATTATCACGTATTATGTTTTGGTTACGTCGTTCGTTGAAAAATACGAGATTCCTTGGCGGTGCTTAATTTTGTCTCGGTACCTTTATTATATTTCTTGGTCGTTCGTCCCATTTTTTTTTATCGTCAATCCCGACGCAAACAATTCTTTTTCTATAAGGAAACTCGGTTCTTCTGGAACGCGACGATCAACGGGCCACGGAAGCAGAGAGTCAAACTTTGCGAGCGATGAAGTCGAGCGTGACGTACATTACTATTTCTTTGAGTTCGTATCGTTAATGGAAATTCACGAAGCGATTCGTGTGTAACTAAACCTGCTTGCCAATTGTAAAGTTAAGGCGAGTTCGCGCACATAAGATTTTCGCGAGACGAGCTTCCTTAGAGAGTTTCAGCGAGGAGATTAAAAGTCGTCCAGGATTTTTTCTCTCGGTTCGATGTCAATTTTCACGTAGATCTTGTAAATAGGAACGAAGTGAAGGAGCAAAAAAATGGTATATAAAACGACAGCTGTTTACGTCTGTCCGATTGCAATAGGAAGTGCGAATACGTAAGAAAGAAAAAAAGAAATATTCACGAATGCATGCAGAGAGTATACGTGAGCATACATTAGAGAGAGAGAGAGAGAGAGTGTGTGTGTGTATGTGTGTACAAGAATCAAAGTATGTCGGTATCCTTGTTCGAGCTCGAGATAACAAAGAAAAAAAAGAAAGGTGGATAATAGGAAA